TTCCAACAGTGGAATATTCGCGAACAACTAGAGGTTTTGACAGCCCTAAGTATATTGATGAGTATTAACTTTAAATATTTTAATTGATTATAAGGCTATAAAGATTTATAGTCAATTAAAATTATTAATTAAAAAAATAGAATAAAAATATATTAAATTGATTCAAATGATGTCATAATATGAGTAATAAGATTTAAATCTTATCCTAACCCTCAACATTTTAAGACTGCATGATTAGCATTGTCAAAACGATTCTTTGTTGGCGAACAGTTCGTGGTCGGCTCGTTAAGCAAACGTGTCGAATACAAACACACTTTTCTTATTTGAAATACTAACGAGTCGAACACAAACAGAAATATTTTTTAATGGGTCGAACAAGAGCTAAGTCCGGGCTCACTCGCGCCTTTACACCTCTGATCTAAAGGCAATCATATGTAAGGTTAAAAATACATAACTACATTCCCACGTATCTAACAGCGCACAATTATCCATCCCCTCCTACACGTACGTTTATGTATATTTATAGTTGATAATTACCCTAATTCTTCGTTCCTAACCCTAGTCACGTTAATCATAGTTAAACAAATCATCCTCCCCTTTATATAATCTCAGTCCTTTCTCATTCGGCGTAAAACCAGAGTGACAATGGCCGAAAGTATTCTTAAAAATCGGACGGTGAAGGTGCCCTCATGGCCGCCGTTCGACGATCACCGACCCATTCGCACAATTTCCGGCGATTATTTACTTACAGAAGCGGCGCTCGCTGAGCTTCAGTGCTACGTTAGGGCGGAAGCCGACGAGACGGCGGAGCTCACCGACCTCCGGTCGGAAGAATACTCCTCCGATGAGTTCCGGATGTACGAGTTCAAGATAAGGCTGTGTAATCGGAGCCGATCTCACGACTGGACCGAATGTCCTTACGCTCATCCCGGGGAAAAAGCTCGGCGCCGTGATCCGAGAAAGTACCAGTATTCCGGCGTGGGTTGCCCTAATTTTCGAAAGGGGGATTGTAAGAAGGGCGATGCCTGTGAGTTTGCACATGGGGTTTTTGAATGTTGGCTTCATCCGGCGAGGTACCGTACCCAGCACTGCAAAGACGGTAGGGATTGCCGCCGGAGGGTATGCTTTTTTGCTCACAGGCCGGAGCAGCTCCGGGTTCCTCCGATTCAGTTACAGCAGAGTTCCCGATCGATTGATTCTTATGACGGTTCGCAGAAGAGGAACCGGAACCGGAACCAAGCCCTAGATTTGTATTTTTCAAAGGGGATAACCCCTTCCTCGCCGACATCTACTTTGATCTCGCCGCCGATTTCGTCGCCGGCTAATTCTCCCCCGGTGTCGCCTAATGGTCTGCGGATGCGACGGGCGGCGATTAACGAGGTAAGTTTATCGATTGGGACGGTGCATTTGAGGAAGGTAGTTGGGCACGGATTGTGTAGTTTTCCGGCGAGTAGTACGGCGGCGGGATCGGCTGGGGGTGGTGGATGGCTGGATTTGGAGAGCGATTGGGAGAAGGAGGAGGGGGTGGGGAGGGTGGAATCTGGGAGAGCACTTAGGGCTAAGATGTACGAGAGAGTGAGCAAGGAGAGCGGGGTGAACCGGCCGGAAAACGAAACGGCTGCACAGGCTGTGCCGGACGTTGGGTGGGTTTCTGAGCTGATCATGTGATGAGGAAGAAGAAGATGGGAGAGTTGTAGAATTCTGCGAGCTGTTATGGTATTTTTGTCAGTATGCGGAGGAGAATTTTGGTTGTATTCTGTTGTTATATATATGAGTCATAAATATAATTATGTTGAGCTGCAGTCAATTAAGAGAGAGAGAGAGAGATGGGAAGGTTAAATTATGTATTTTAATTATGATTGGGTTCATGAGGTATTGTAGAAGAGAGCTGTATTGCTTTAGTGATTCTCTTGTTGTATTATGTTTTGGGTATTTTTTGTAATTATTGTAAGTTATATCATGTTTTTCATGTCTCTCATTTGGGAAAAATTATTTCATCGAGACATCAAACGTAAGATTTACATCCCGAGTCCAGTGATCATGTGGGCCCCACCATTATAAAAATTTACATGTGTATTATAATGGGGCCCACTTGCCACGTGCTCACTAGACTCTAAATGCAAATTTGTGTCTGGTGTCATGATGAAATAGGCGCTCATCTTTTGATGAATAGTCTTCCCTATTAATAAGTTTGGATTGGCTTTAGCCAAGAAGGGTTACATAAATGGCTACATAAAAAAAAAAAGCCTCAATTTAAGAGTAGAATAATATTGTAACCAGTGGCTTAGTTGAAGGTATCATGAGGTTGCAGGGTGAATTAATGAAAGTATGTTTGTCTTGCCCTATGACTTCTTAGAATGATTTGTGGTTGCTTGAGCAATGTGAATTATTTGATGAGTGGATCAAATCAAGTGTCATTATCCTGTTTGATTACATTAGCTAAAGTTAGTTAAATGTTTTTGAGTAGTGGTATATGATGAGTTGACTTGGTGTTAAATCTTCAAAATGTAAAAATTTTGAGTATTTTAATGTAATTTTTTATTTTATTTTGTGTAAAAATATTGATGATAATTTGCAACTTCATACATTGGGAGGAGGTGTGTTCAAGGCTTATAAGATAAATGATATTTATTTATTTTATTATTATAAAAATTGATCGGAGGCTATGATACAAGCCTCCAACCAATCTCATGTGTCTTAACTACTCAAAACCGTACTGCAAGATAGATGCACTCAGGTAGGTTTGAACCAACGACCCTAGGAGACTCACGACTGACAACGCAATTGCCAATAAAAGAGTCACAACGCCGCGTACTCATATTAGTTGGTCAGACATCTGCTTGTCAGTTACAAGTCCCCTCTGGTTTGAGTTCGATTCCCCCCGGTGGAGGGTGAGGTAATCGAATTGTTAGGTGCATCGGGACTGGCCAAGGCTCATATAATATTCTCAGTCCATTCTTTTTAATATATATATATATATATATGATGGAATTACGCATAATAAACAACTTCCGAAGATTATTGGAAGGATAAAATAAAACTTAAATTAACAAATTTATTGCATAATGAACCATAGAGTCTTAGTACACTTAACATTTAAAACCTTTTTTTATCATTCATTTATTGATTTTAAATTTCATTTTATCTTTGGAAATATCTTTTTAAATCTGTTTATTATGCTTTTAACTGCATTTTTAGGGTTAATTTGAAATCAGGTTTAAGCATTCTAGTGCTCTTATAATTCTCTAAATGTGATCATCGTTTAATTTATAAATTTAAAAAAAATAAATAAATTACATTTAGATTTTTAAATATTTTCTCGAATTTTTCTGTTTAAATATTTGAGTAAAATTCAAAAATGCATTAAAACTTAAAAAAGCATTTACACACATACCACCCAATTCATATATATATATTACAAATATAGCATCTGAACTTTAATTTTCTTACTTATATCACCCAACTCTTTCGTATCACATGAAAAAATATCACTATTTTGATTCTTAGTATATAACGTGTTTAGACCTAATTGTGGGAAGGCAAATGGCGGGATCGGTTGAGACTGCACCACGTCAACGACGTCAGCGGATCATATACATTGATATTTCTACTTCTTCCCCTCCTTTCACTCCTTCTGCGACAAAAATTGAATCATATGAAAATTTAAAATTTTTAAAAAATATTTTAGGATGAGAATGATACATGAATGATCAATCAACAATTATATTATCTTCATTTTTTAATTAGATTTTTTTTTTAATTTGTGCTAATTAAATTTTAATATTTTTACATAGTTAAATGATTGGGTGGTAACCAAAGATTCTCTTATTCTTAATGGTATTAAGGCCTATTTATATGGACCCCAAGGCTTAAACACAATTATCCTACATGCCATTATTCTATTATAATCACACATGTTTGACAAACCTAAACATCAATTGCTTCAAATGACAAGAAATGTTCTTTTGTAATCACATGACCTTGAAAGCTACTTCCTTTCCTACATTATCACAAAAAAAACATAATAAAGCAATGTCACACGAAAAAACCCAATGGCGGACCCACTTATAGGCTAAGCCGAGCTATCAATCTAAGGTTTGGGTCTGGTCTGATCTAAACCTAACATGTTTATTAAACAAGTCAAAAATTCTAATCCTAACCCAAATGTCCTTTAACTTGACTTGTGTTTAAAACCTAAATCCGAACTGAAAGGCATGTCAAAAGAAACATCAATTTTTTAGTTTCATAAGAGGCATCATTTTTTGACATCTATAATTACTTGTGATAAAATGTAATGATTTGAAATAAGAATTTTACAGCAAATTCAAGTCCCATGTACTTAAAAATTATGCTTGATACACCATCAACAAATTTCTATTGTACGACATGAATTTCGAGATATGATATCGATCTCGATGCAAACTTTTAAGCAAAATATATTCAAATTTTAATTAAAATTTATCCAGAGCTCCAATTTCAACAAACTTAAGTTCAAACTAACTGACTCAACGAGACAGACCCAATGATATCAAAATTGGTCCAATCTAAACCAAATCAAGCTCGGATCAAGTCATTAAAACGTTTTAAGTCATTGAAACCGCTATTGGTAGCATTTCAGACATATTTAAAAGGTCAAACGAATGTCGAATCTAACAAGCTTATAATTAAATTGACCGTATCGATAGGATGAATCCAAGGAGCCCAAGTTCACTCAACTATGATATCACTAAGACACAAAAATGTCCACCAAACTTCATCTGATCAAGGGAATCTCTTTGGTTCATCCAAATAGAGTGATTCATATTTCTTCATTAATTACAATCAAGACTTTATAAATAGAGCTCTGTCCCTCTCATGAGGGGGGAAGAGGAGAGAGAGAGAGAGAGCTTGGAGTCTGAAAAAGAGCTTGAAACTTAGAGAAGAAGCTGAAGTCCAGCATCACCTTGTCGCCGACCACTAGTTGTCAACCGCTGCCGACCATCACTCATCGGTTGTCGCCGATCAACATCGTTCGCCGTCGAATTTTTGCAATAAGTTCATCTACGCACCAACGTTGTAGCTCTAAATAGTGTTTAACCCTTTCCCAACTGTAAGATGAGGAACTGTACTTGAAATCTTCAGATTATAGTGGATTCTTTCAGCTAGGCCAGGTCTCGTGGTTTTTCTCTTTACTGGTTCTCTACATAAAAACTTCTGATGTCTCTACTTGTTGTTTTTCTTTCAACTGAGTGTATGATGAATTCTCCTCTAATGCTAAGATGATACTTCATTACTCTACCGTCATGAATCTTCTAGCACACATTAGTTTGACCTCATCTATGGGAACAAGCATTCTCATTACTAAAGA